AGGGTGACAGGAGGCCAGGGTGACCAGCCATGACCAGGTGATAGGAGGCCAGGGTGACCAGCCATGGCCGGGGTGACAGGAGGCCAGGGTGACCAGCCATGACCTGGACAGGTGGGGAGTGGATGGCACGGGGAAGCAGGGGTGGGGGGACCTAGGAGCAGGGCAGGAGCAGTCTGCTGGGCCTGAGGGCCACATGAGGGAACTGGACTGCGTGTCATGACATCATGGGCAGCGGGGACAGGAAAGGATGAACAGTCTTAGAACTGTGCCCTGAAATGACACCTCCCAGACTCTGGGAGATGGACAGAAGGGACACTTCCCTCCCTGGAGACCGACCGTCACACACAGCAGAGGGGTGGACGCTGCTTGTTTGTGTCTAAGTGTCGCAGGGAGGGAGACAGAAAGTGCAGTTCAGTGAGAATAACGTGGCCGGGAGGTGGCAGAGAGGGAAGAGCCCTGAGCTTAAGGGAGGGCGGGGGAGGATGGCACAAACCTGCAGGAGGGAGGGGCAGGAGGTGTGTCTGGGGGTCCAGGAGAGGCATCTCAGGTGGGAACATTGGCCTTTGGTGAGGAAAGAAACTCCACGGGGATTGGGGTGTAACAACCACATTCAATGAGGCCAATTTCCTCATGAGATTATATTGAGCCCTGAATTACACAGGAGCTGTTTCCTGGATGGCAAGAGCCTGGGGAAGATCCCCAATAATTCTGAGCTCATTTGCTCCTTCCGGGCCAGCTGGTCTTTAATGGGTGACCTTATTAATTTAACTCAATGCATGAGAGAGTGCAAATTACTACTCTAAAGGCCTGGGAATGCACTGGTTTCTCTGCCAGGGATCTCAGTGGGGATGTAATTGTGGTGGGTCAGAAGGTGTCATTAGTGCCTCGGAATGCTGTCCTCCCGCCCGGATGGGCTGGAGCGGCAGGCAGGTGCACTGGTCCCAGCAAGTTCCAGAGAACTGTGTTTCAGTGGAGCCAAATTTTCATTAATTTGCACATTACACCTTATAAAAGGCTTGGACATACTGACATAATTAACAGTCATTTATTTTATATTTTGATACGGTAAGGAGATGTAGGGTGAAAGGTCAAAAATTTAAGAAAATAATAAAACCAGAGCAAGACACAGAAAAGCTTATCACGCCATGATCCTCCACGCTACCTGGGCACAGCTCAGAAGTTGGTCCTGACGTCCTCAGTAGGCAGAAGAAGGGAAATATAATTTCTTACCAAAATGATGTTTTCCTTAACTCAAAGGCAATTAGTTGCTAAGAAGCATGCATCTTCTAGTCCTAAGACCTGCAAGAAACTTCTCACATACGTGCTAATAAAGAGAATGGGGTTTTTAAGAAAAAAATTCTGCTTTTAATGCTCCTCAATGCAGACTAATAGCACAAAACTACAATTTACGTAAATTAAGTCTACAAGGAATCAAAAAATCTGTAGGGCACACGAGTTGTTCTTTGGTGGATTTTGCATATAATCGGGAAATAAAATTTAAAACATAGAAAATCAAGTGGGCTGAATAAACTCAGGAGATGTGTCGTAGACCAAATCCAGATAGGGGGCTGAGAGCTGAGGAAGCTCAGTCAAACGGTATTTATCAACACGCACCCAGCGAGAGCCCAGTGGTCTAACATCAGGCCTTGTGCGAGCAGCTGGGCACAGACAAGCAAGTAGACGTAACCCCTGCCCTCACACGCAGTCCAGTTCCCTTCGGTCTGCTCAGGGAGACGGATGTGTGGACAGACAGTGCAACCTGCTGTAGAAAGGGGCCCTTCTTGCCTCCACAGCCACTGTTTGGTTTCAATTCGATTCCCCTTCTCCCTTTCCCATTTGCAAGAGCAATGGGTAGAATGGGAAATAAAGAAAAAAAAATGTGCTGCGTACGGAAAATCCTCAAAGAACGCAGATTAGACCTCCCATATGATCCTGACATCCCACTACTAGGCATCTACCCAAAAGAAAAAAAAATCGTTTTATCACAAGGACATTTGCACTAGATTGGTTATCACAGCTCAATTTACAATGCCCAAGATGCAGAAATAGGCCCGGCACAGCGGCTCACGCCTGTAATCCTAGCATTCTGGGAAGCTGAGGCAGGTGAATGCCTTGAGCTCACAAGTTTGAGACCATCCTGAGCAAAAGCAAGACCCCATCTCTACTAAAAATAGGGGGAAAACGAGGCAAGAGGATTACTGGAGCCTGAGTTGGAGGCTGCTGTGAGCTATGATGCCACAGCACGCTACCCCCGGGGCGACAGCTTGAGACTCTGTCTCAAAAAAAAAAAAAAAAAAAGAAAGATGTGGAAACAACCTAAATGCCATCAACCCAGGAATGGATTAACAAACTGTGGTATATGCACACCATGGAATATATTCAGCCATTAAAAGATGGAGACTTCACAGCTTTTGTGTTAACCTGGATGGAGGTGGAGAACATTCTCTTTAGAAAAGCATCACGAGAATGGAAAAGCAAGTATCCCATGTACTCAATACTAATAGGAAGCCAGGAGAAAATCTAATACTTGCCACACAAGAGAAAAACTCAATTTAATTCAAGTTGGGGGGAGAGAACAGGAGAGGAGGGGAGGAGGAGAGGAAGGGTGCGTTCCCAGGTAATGGGCACAGTGTAAGGGCACATGGCACCTGGGTGGGGGACGCAAGTAGAATAGGGACTTTACCTAACAAACCACACACTGTAACCTAATCGTTTGTACCCTCTTATTAATCTGAAAATTTTAAAGAAAAAGAAAGAAAAATGCACTTCATTTTTTGCAAAATTACAGTCAAAAGAAGTTGTTGAAATGGGCAGCAAATGTCTGGAAGAAAACCAGGGCTCCCCGTCCTGGGAGTCTGAGCTGGCTCTGCCACGGAAATGACTGGTGCTCTGCTCTGTTGGCAGGTGGGGACCACAGGGCCGGCGAGCCTCCTGACCACGTAAGTGCCCTCCCTGGGCTTCCTTCTTTAATACTTCCAGAGCAAGCGGCTCTTTTCAAGGTACCTGCTGAACTTAAAAAACTAAAAATGCAAAGATTTTGAAAACAGTGCATTTCCAAATGGCCTATTTTTTCTGGTAAGGAGGTAAGTATCTCAGTCCTTGGGCATGAACTGCACTCTAATTCCTCAGCTATAAAATGGAGATAAAAATTAATTCAAATGGTCATTGTGAAGGTTGAATAGGGTGAAAATACCGACATGTGCTGGCCAGTGTGTGACAGGAAATGCACTTTTTTTTTTTTTTTGCAGTTTTTTTGATCGGGGTTGGGTTTGAACCCGCCACCTCCGGCATATGGGGCCGGCACCCTACTCCTTTGAGCCACAGGCACCACCCGGGAAACACATTTCTTTATACTCACAGTAGTAAAATGATAAATCAAAGCGAACTTTCTGGAGAGCAGTTAGTTAACTTGTTATTAACTAAGCAATACAAAATATCCAGGCTTTGGGCCCAGTAATCCCACGGTTGGGAATATAAACTAAGAAATTAACCTAAAATTTGTACTAATGTTTGAACGTAGTCACTGGTGTTTCATAATTTATTTTAAAAGGTAGCACATCAGAATCGTGCTATATATACAACACGAAAATAAGTGAATATTAAGTAATTATATTCGTTAATATTATATGTTAATATCAACGACTTCACGAAGCCATTGCAATATGTACAAGGAATTTTAATAATAAGAGGGAAAAGATTAAATGCTATAACATGAACTTAAATACCTTATATCACAAGTAATTGTCGTGTTAGCTTATATATAAATAAATAGTTTTAAATATCTAAAAATGAGTGGATAGATAAATAGTAGATAGACAGATAGATAGAAACTGCCTATAAACTCACGGTATTTTTACTGCTTGAATATCTCTAAGGATGACTAAAGCTACGGGCCCTTACCGGCAAACACAAACACCCCATGGCGCACAAGCGGGCTCAGGTTTTACAAAGTAAGAACGAGGCTTATGCGTAGAGAATACTGAACTTGCAGTCAAGAACTCTGGAGATTGACAGACAATAGATAATACATAGATGTATAAATGACATCTTTAGATTCAGATTTTTTAGATTTAGATATTTAGATTTTTATGTATTTTATCAATAGATAAACAGATGTACCTCGTTATATTTAAAACAGATCTATCTATCTATCCATCCATCTATCTCTCCTTCTCTCTCTCTCTCTCTCTCTCAATACACCAAAATATTCATCTTCACTCCTGGAGGGGAGGCCTGGGAAGTGTGAGTTGCCCTTTTCAGCGGGGGTGACAGCTGCCCTTCCCAGCCTTCGGTGGTGTGCTGCCCCCAGGATGTCCAGCAAGGGGGTGGGGCGGGAAGACGGGTTCAGTCCCACAGCTCCAGTTCTAGCTGCTCCAAGACGGGTTCAGTTCCACACCCTCGGTTCTAGCTGGTCCAATTCAGTTCCACAGCCCCAGTTCTAGCTGGTCCAGGACTTTCCCAAAGAGGCCTCTCCTTGGGGAGCCTCGATGGTCGCAGGGACACAAGTACTCGGTGCCCTGGCAGGATCCCCAGCTCGGAGCTCACTCCCCACACAATTCCGGGACCCAGGGCGTCCCCTCCCTTTGCGGTGTTGAGGTCCATCCAGGCAGCTCTCCTTTGCCCCAGTACTCGGCTCCACCCTTCGCTCACACACCGCAGTGGAGAGCAGGGATCCAACGTGCACTGAGCTCTGGGGTGCGCAGGTGCCAGAGCAGCCCTTATAGACATTTTCCTCAAATAAGGCGGACTCGGTCACCGCCAGTCACAGACTGAGGTCTGAGTAGGGCCCGATCAGAAATGGACCTGCAGTCCAGATCCAGGACAGAGCGACTTCAAGGCCACTCTGTATCCAAGCAGCTGGGCTCACCTGGCTTCTCATCCAGGAAGGTCCCGGCCCTGCCCCTGCTCCTTGCTGGAACCAGGTGAATGCCTGGGTGCTGGGGGCATCGGTGTGACCGTGTCCTACTCCAGCTGTGTCCCTGGCGACTTAGCCCTTTTCTCCTTTGGGTGTCCAGGCTGGGCCCTTCTCTCCCACTCCCGCTCGGAGATGGCTGCTCCGCCTCTGAGCCCCTCTGCCTTCGATAAACCTGCCCTAGAGGACAGAGGCAAGCTTGCCTTCCTCGGGAGCCCTTGGCTGGGAATTGAGGGCCAGCACGTGTAAGTCAGGTGCGGCCTTCAGGGCCCTGCCCCTCTGCGTGCCGCCCACGGACTCACCAAAGTGCACGCTGCACCCGGGCAGCGAACCAGCGAACGAGCTCCGAGGGGAGCCAGGCCGCCTTCCCGGAGGCCACAGTCCGTCCCGCGCTCTCGCACTTCCGAACAGGCCATCTTGCTCGCCCATAGACTGCACTCGTCTTTTCCCTTCCTGAGCTGCCGTGGCAGAGTCATGACAGAAAAAGCCACAGTCTGAGGCTTGGTGCCCTTGGCGACACGCCCGAGTAAATGAGAGAACGGAGCAGCGCGCAGCGGAACTCGGTACAGCCCTGCTCACGCCCAGGTCCCTGCGCTAGCGCAGCCTCCTGGATGTTTCTCTTTATACCGTGAAATGAAGTAGTAAAGCACCTCGCGGACGAGGTTGACAACTAGGTTCACAAACCCGTCCTCCAGGTGCTGCCCACTCACGAGTGAATATCACGCAGTCCCCTTCCAGGTGCGCCCCTGGGGGAGCTGTGCTCCCGCGTCAAGGCCTAGTCCCCCCTGCAGAAAAGCCCTGGACTCCTTTTCTGGAATGACTCTCAGAGCTGCTGTTGTACAAGGTCTGACAGTTAGGGTCATGACCTTGCCACTGTGTGTGTAACTGGGCAGCACTGTACAAACAACTCGGTGAGGTCCCAGTCCCTGGTCTATCAGTGTCCCACAGCTGTGTTGGTGTTGACATGCGGTCGTGTCTTGCTGAGTGGCCTTCCTTGTTGTTATGTGTCTTGGGTGCCATAGGATGACGGCTTTGACGGCCATTCGGGAAGAAGAGTTCCAAAATTGCTTTGAAGGGTGGGCCAGGTGCTGGCGTCCATGCCCAGCTGCCCAACGGGAGCACCTGACGGTGACCACAGTGCCACTGGGAGGGATGCAGCACTTTTTCGAGGACGAGTTCATGAACTTATTTGTCATACCCCGTATGTTAAGTACAGTTGGACTTCTGTATCAGTGGGTTCTGCATCTGCAGATGCAACCAACCTCGGTTTCAAAATGTTAAAAAAAAGAAAAACCTAGAAAGATATAAAATACAATAATAAGAATAATACAGATGAAAAGCACAGTATCAGGATGACTCACGCATTTACCCTGCCCTGGGCACTGTAAGCGACCTAGAGATGATTCCAAGTTCACAGGAGGGCTGCGGGGGTCACATGCAGATGCCACACCATCTTACACCAGGGATCTGGGCATCTGCCCACCTTGGTATCCTGGGGGGTCTTGGGACGAATGCCCACAGATTCTAAGGGAGAACTGTGCTTAACAAATGTAAGAGAAACTTTAAGAGGAGGGGAGGTGGGGAGCAGACAGTTCCCAGCCTCCCGACGTTCTCTGATGGCGGCAGTTACGGCAGAAGCCGTCAGGGCAGCGACAGGGCAGGCCCTACCTGTGTTTATCACCAGGCGTTTCCCTGCAGGGGAATGAAGGGTTCATTTCCTTCCTTACATGAACCCTTCATTTAAGACTCTTCCGACTCTCTCCTTATCTCTCTCCCCTCTTTTCTCTCCTCTTTTCTCTTCTCTTTTCTCTCCTCCTTGGTGCTACTCTGCAGCCTTCCTCCCCCCACCAATAAAGACCTTTAAAAAAAAGAGAGAGAGACTCTTCCGATTGCCACAGTCACTCCATAACCATACATAACATGTATTTAGCATTACATACAGCCATTTAGTTCATAAATAAGTTTGAAGTGGCCCCCCCATAAAGTTTGAAAAGGCAAAGTACAGCATAAACCAAACAACTTCAGTCACACACGGCTAGTTAAGCTAGTTAGAATCCATCACCTTACACACCGACTCGTTTGTTCACAAGCATGTGCTGAGAATCCGCCATGTGCAAACAGCAGCAGCACAGGCACAGCCCAGACAAGATCCATGACCTTGACTACCAGCAACTGAAGATTAAAAGAACAAGCTGGAGTCCAGAGAAAGAGTTCAAGTGCTGCCACGGCCGTGTAGTCCGAGCTCAGGCTCCCTCTGTTCATCATCGCACTGGCTGCGGTTTGAACGCCACCCCCAGATTTCACGTGCTGGAAGCTCAATCCCCAAATTCACATGTTGGTGGCATTTAGTGTCACTTCCTAAGGCCCCGGCATTAACGCTGATGATCCACAGAATTGCACTAGTTTTCTCTTGCAGCCCTGACAGCTCAGCCCTAAATTAGCAGTGTAACTGTTTATCTTTGCACAGTTTGGGGCACTCCGAGGTGGAGGTGCCGCGTGGCTCTGCTGGTTCCTGTGTGCCAGGCCACACAAGTGTAGCAGGCCTGCGTCTCTTCTGGTAGCTCTCAAGAACCTGCTCCGAGGTTGAGGCAGCTTGTTTAGTAGAATCTGGCTCCATTCAGGTCCAGGCCCCCTTATCTTGCTGGCTGCCAGTCGTCAAATCCTTCTGCTTTTGGAATGTCTCCGCACTCCCCTCCCGCCCAATCTCTCTACCTTCTCTTCTGCGTCCTCTCTGTGACCATCTCTCCTGCTTAAAGCAGCCTTAGGAGATATAATCTGCGTGCCATTCAATTCACCCGTCTAAAGAGCACAGTCAATGGTTTTCAGTATATTCAGAGTCATGTAACCATCTCTGCAATGAATACATTTCTATCAATCCAAGGTAAAATGCAATTCCCTCTTCCCCCAGCCGTCAGCAGCCATTAATCTACTTTCTATCCATAAACCCTCCTACTCTGGACGGTTAATACAAACAGAATCATACAATGCTCCATTTTCATGTGACCAGCTTCTTTCACGTAGCATAACATCCTTAGGTCTCATCCACGTTGTAGCAAATAGCAGCAGTTAATGATGTTTTGTTGCTGAATAGCATTCGTTGTAAGGATATACCACGGTTAACTTATCTATTCAGAAGTTGATAAATATTTAGGTTATTTCCAACTTTTGCTATTATCAATATTGCTGCTATGAATGTCCATGCACAGATTTTTATGGGAATGAGGAGCTGCTGGGTTATAGTCATTCTGTGTTTATCCTTTTCAGCAAGTGCCAGAGCTTTTCCCACAGGGCCGCACCTGTTACTCTACCACCAGCAATGCCCAAAAGCTCCGATTTCTCTGCATCCTTCTCAGCACTTACTATTCTGTTGCTTCTATTCCATCTACCCTAATGGGGAGGAGTGGCATCTCATCATGCTTTTGATTTTCATTTTCTTTTTTTTTTTTTTTGAGACAGAGCCTCAAGCTATCCCCCTGGGGGGATAGCTCACAGCAACCTCCAACTCCTGGGCTCAAGCGAGTCTCCTGCCTCAGCCTCCCAAGTAGCTGGGACCACAGGCACCTGCCACAACGCCCAGACATTTTTTGGTTGCAGCCGTCATTGTTGTTTGGTGGCCTGGGCTGGATTCGAACCCGCCACCTTACGTGTATGTGGCTGGCGCCTTAGCCACTTGAGCCATAGGCGCCGAGCCTCATTTTCTTAATAGCTAAAGATTCTCAGCATCTCTGCATGAGCTTATTGATGATTTGTGTATCCTCTTTGAGGAAACATCTCATCAGCTCTCTTATTTTTTAATTTCGTTGCTTATCTTTTTATTTTAGAGCTGTAACTATTTTGTAGATATCTGATCCAAGCTTCTTCTCTGGTGTACAATAAGCAAATATTCTGTAGCTGCCTTTTCATTTTTTGCAGTAGATTTTGAAGTACACGATTGTCTATTTTAATTAAGTTCAAGTTGACTATTTCTTCCATTGTTTTTATGTTTGTGTCATATCTAAGAAACCATCGCCTCAGGAAAGAAATTAAGATTACATTTCTCCTAAGAGATTTGTGGCTTTAACTGTCAGATACAAGACCCGTTTGGGTTAATGTTCACGTATGTTACAAAGGAGGAGTTCAACTTCACGTTAGCACACGGGGATACAGCTGTCCTGGGACCATCTGTTGAAAAGACTATTCTTCGGGTGGTGTCTGTGGCTCAAGGAGTAGGGCACCGGCCCCATATACCGGAGGTGGTGGGTTCAAACCTGGCCCCAGCCAAAAACTGCAAAAAAAATAATAAAAGACTATTCTTTCCCCCATTAGATTGTATTGGTTCCCCTCTCAAAAGTCAACTGCCCCTCAATGCGAGGCCGTATTTTTAGCTCTCAGTTATACGCCCACACACTGTCTGTCTATCTTGGTGCCAACACCATGTAGTCTTATCTGCTGCACTTATGTAACTGAAATTAAGAAGTGTGAGTTTCCGTAGGGCACCAGCCCCATATGCCAGAGGTGGCGGGTTCAAACCCAGCCCTGGCCAGAAACTGCAAAAAAAAAAAAAAAAGAAGTGTGAGTTTCCTAACCTTATCTTTTTCCCCCAAGACTGGGGGGTATCTATGACCATCTCCCCCTCTCACAGTCAGCTGATTAGGAATTCTATATATTCAGAATCATGTAACCATCTCTGCAATCAATACATTTCTATCAATCCGAAGTAAAATGCAATTCCCGCTTGCATTTCCCAAGGCTGCACTGTCCCTCCACAGCAGCACCTAGATCAGCGTTTTATTCAATAATCAGAGATGGGAAAGTTGGTGAACATCTTCAGAATTCTGCCTCGCACAGGAATTAAAAACCACAGGCCCTCAACTCTAAAAACTTTATGCGGCAGCTCAGGAACCCTAATCGTTCCCCTGGCTGGCACAGTAGCTTGTTATCTTGGCCGACACGTGTCTTCCTCTGACTCATCTGAGTGCTCCCTCCTACTTAGGAAAGGAAATTTGCTGCAATCCTCGATGGAATGAAAGGTCACAGTGACGATGACTATGAAGACCTGGACTTGCAGATGGTGGAGGCGTGGCAGTCGATGCAAATCTCACCAGCCCCGCCCATAAAGGAGTCTGAGTATGCAGGTAACATGCAGGGGTCAGCAGGCAGGGGCAGTCGGGCTGCAGAACTGCTCCGTAATTAAAGGAGCAGGTCCTCAACTAAACAGCCCCAGGTTAACGTTCTCCTTGGTGGCTTACTAGCTGTGTGACCTTAAGAAATCCAGTCTGTAACTGGATTGATTCATCTTGCAAGTAGCCACCCTGTGAGTAGCATCTGGACACACTTGTTAAGAGTGAAGAAAACCTGATTCCACGCCCACCTTTGTCTCTTTCTAACTTGGGCACCTAGGGCAGCTGACCTAAGTTCTCTGCACCACTGTAAGGAGAAAGAGGACGTCTTTATAATTTCTGAGGGTGTGACCACTGAAATGAATCTATAAAACTTTCTTGGAGAGAAACTTCTCATAAGTAACAGTGCTATTCCTTCATTCATTCACTCAACAACCATTTACCGAGCATTTACTCTGTGTCCATTATCACATAGGATTGATGGGGTTGGGAGGGGGAGGCCAAAGCATAACATGCCCTCAGTTGGCCACAATCTAGTGGCAGAAACAGACAGATGAAAGGTGGTGGAATATATTAGGTGTAGAGAAAGGACAGACAGAAAAGGGGTACAGGTAAGGGAGACCTAGGGGACCTCTAAAAGGTGTGACATAGCCCAGCACTCTGGGAGCCTGAGGCAGGTGGATCGCCAGAGCTCAGGAGTTTGAGACCAGCCTGACTCAGGGCAAGACCCCATCTCTAAAAACAGCCAGTTGTTGTGGCAGGCACCCAAGAGTTTGGGGTTGCTGTGAACTGTTATGATGCCACAGCCAGCACTCTACTGAGAGTGAGGAAGAAAGACCCTGCATCAAAAAATAAAAATAATAAATCGATAAATAATAAAGGGTGTGGAATAATCTAAATACTGAAGGATTAGTAGAATTTCTTAAGTGGGTAGGAGAACCAAAAATGTGCCAGTCCAGACTTGGCCACTTACTTGGATAACCAGGAGGAGCAATTCTTCCCTCTGTGCCTCGGTCCCCCCGTCTGTGACGTGGAAGTAGCATCATTTGCCTCGTGCCTCATTGTGACGAGGACACTTTGTGAATTGTCATGTGCTGAACCTGAGTAAGGTGTAACTTGGACGTTTTTCTGTTTGCGCAGACACACGCTATTTCAAGGGTGTGGTGGACGCTCCGCTTCCATCGAACGCCAAGACCTCTCTCCCCACCGGGGTGCAAACCTGGAGCCTGCAGGAGAGGCTGGACGGAGTGAGTAAGGGCCAGCGGGTGCAGGGCACCTCCCAGCCAGCCGGGCGCCTGGTCCCTTGTCCCCAAGGCATCTCCGTAGATTAAGAGCAGACGGAGCTCACTGCGGGGAGGGACTGACTTCGAAGCTTGGTGGGATCACAGTCCTGATAATAAGGGTCTGGAAAGGAGAAGGGTCAGCATTTGTTGAAGCTTCGCCATGAGCCAGGCAGCAAGCTCAACTTCTGTTTACAAGGAACACTTTTTCAGTCTGTTCTTCAAAATGTTCCCACTTTTCTATTCTTATTTGTTGCTATCCCCAAGATCTATAAGTAGAAGAGCCCCACCAGGGACTTGTGAAAAGGAAAAGGTCCTTCAGGACACTGACCATTCGAGCCTGGAGCACGTTCAGAGAACATAAAGGTTCCAGGGTGACGGACCAGTGGCTGCCAGTGCCACAGTCCTGGCCTGGTTGTGCAGGAGTAGAGAGTGTGTAGCTAGAAGGTTGAGTTTTCCCTTCCCTACAGATCGCTAATAATCCCCTTTTACGTATATGTAAGCCTTCATAAATAGAAAAAAAAATTAGAAAAGTTAATTACCATTTGATTTTTTGAAAACAACTATTCCAGAATTCAAGCTTCCGTTCTTATTACCTTATATTCATTATTATCACCTTTGTAGCTTCCCGTTAAAAACAAATTTCTCTCTTTAGCTAGATGGCTTTGCAAAGAGAACCACAATATGGACCCACTGAGTCCAGAGAAGCCACGTGAAAAAAAGGATATGGCAGGCACCAGCGAAGTGTCTGCCAGGAGAGAGTTGTCTTATAAATTAAACAAAGGCTTGGCCTCAATTCAGATAAAGAGGCAGTTTTACTGGTATAATCGATATTTGAGTAATCAAGTTTTTGTGGCAAGCTAGTTATCTTTTTCATTACAGCCTCACTCTGAGGAGTTGCTTTGTGCTGGTTCTGAGTGTTCGCGTTAAGATTAAACTATCTGTGAAATGGATCTTTAGTAATCCTTACAGAGCACAGTTCTTATCTAGACCCTTAGGTTAGTTACTAGTGTCTTGCCCTAAACCACTCTCATCCCTGTACTTACTGAGCATGCGTCCTGCATCCCTGTACTTACTGAGCATGCGTCCTGCATCCCTG